TGGTTCACCCTCGTTTAGGTAAATGAATCAAATCTGTCATTAATGTGATGAACCGGCGTCCTGAAATGACCCTCATGAGCTCATCCTACTCAGTAACGTCACGTGAATGAATCACGTTCATCATCAGCACAAACTAACGAGCAGAACGAGCTTCGCTGAGAAGATAATTAACTCTGATCAGCTCTCAGCTTCATTATTAGAGCGAGACGAAGGAGAAAAAGGTGAGATGAGCTGCTTTTCCACCGTTTACAGGCTTTAACTTCTGTTCAGTGCTGCTGCCATGGTAACGCTGAATGACGGCGCAGCGCAGTGGAACAAAAGCACATGAATTCTGTTCTGAGCGTCACATTAAGGTCACATGGCCACGAATCGGATACGTATCCGATCTAGAACCACATATGAAAGTGGCTCAGGTCGGATTTGAAAAGATCAGATTTGTGTCCACACAGCTCTGAAAACATCAGATCTGAGTCACATCAGGGCAAAAAATCAGATTTGTGCCACATCAGAGTGGGAATGTGAACATATGCAAAGTCTGATATTCTCACCAAATCTGATTTTGTTTTATTTGGCTGTTCTCAGTGTCTTTTAAATGCGATCTGTGTGCTACATCAGTCTGAACAGATCAGCTCCTAAACTGACTGTATGCGCAAAAAAAAGGTTCACGTGGCTCATCCAGAGATAAACAATCAAAGTGGAGTCAGCAGTAAGAGTCGCTCTCAAAGCTCTCAGTTTCATCTTCTCCAGCATCTCAGGAGCTGAGAAGTTCTGTGTTAGAGCTCACCGTGAAAAGGGCGCGTTATTTGGTTCTTTGGTTCTTTGGTTTGTTTCCTTGGTTTACCTCAGACTTTTCCCTTTTCTTTGACACTGCAGCCTCTTCCGGCTGCGTTCGTCCATTTCTTTCAAAATCTCTTCGAACTTGAAGCGAGTTGGATGAGTGTCTTCTAACTTTGTACAGAATCAGCCCAAATGTTATGCGAAATTATGACAAATGTTGAGTTGGATTGATGTAAAAGTCGCAGGAATTCCGATCTGGCAGTTCGGATTTCAGTACCACATATGAAAGCGTCTCAAATCGGAATTGAAAATATCAGATTCAGTGTGTTTATCTGTTCACACTGACACACAGACACACATCTATGTCACACATGAGGAAAAAGATGGGATTTTAGCCATTTTTACCTGCTGTGTGAACAAAGCCTCATAGCTACCAGTCTCATGTTTTCTCAGGTCGTTGTCTCACTTGTCCCGAATGCTGGAGTCCGCACTCGATTCTGGGCTGGTTTGGGGGAGGGGCTCATTATCGCTGGTTTGGTTTCACAAGAATTACTACAAACCATCCGTCTCTTGTCTGCATGCAGGTTTGCAGAATGGTTGACGCAGCTTCATCCGTTTGCTGCTTTTTATTATTTTCCTTTTATACAAACACTTAAGCGCCGCAGAACAGAGCCTCTAAAGTTCACGGTGTTGCACCGTGCAGGAGCTCCTGCAAACATGGACCCATTCTCTTATGGGAGGGCATTCGCCCAGTCGCGGTCACTGTACACGCAGAGTTATCTGGAAACGAACCCAAACCACTGATTTCAGGAGGACCAGAGATCGGTTCACTGGACCACTCCCGGGTTTGAAGACAGCTTTTACGCTTGATCAAACGTAGGGCTGAACGATTTGCGGAAAATATCTAATTGCGATTTTTCTGACTAACATTGCAAAATTTAATTTGCAATTATTATAAGGTGTAATATTCAGTCCTATTTTTTTTTGGGCCAAAAAGTTCCGAATATCCACATCTTCTGGCTTGAGGCTCGAGCCCTGAATGTAGTGACCCAAACTGCCAGTAGGTTGTGGTTGTGATGTCACAACACATGGAGGTTTGGTTGCCTCTGATTGGTTTAACTCATCTACAGGCACTTCACATGCTCAGTTTCTACTCTTAAAACTTAAGATGTTTCTGGAAAATTTGCAGCTCTTGCGATTTAAACAGGGGGCTCTTAAATTGTGATATAAAAATGATTAATCTTTCAGGCCTAACTAAACCTACCGAACTCACAGAGCAAGCGGTTCTGGATCCGGAAGAAACTCTAGTGTAACGCCCTCAGTGTAACTTTTCATAAATGTTCTCCAGTGCAAGTCTGTTCACGTTCTTGATATTGAGAAACACTGGTGCTCTCTTTTTAGCCCCCACTGAGTGACTCTGTCTTTCACCCCCCCTCCACTGACCTATGAACGATGGCTACAGTGAATAATGGCGAATAATGGCTGTAATAAGTGAATAGCGGCTGTAATGACTGTCTGATTGTCTGATTGTCTGATTGCTTGCTCGTGTTGTTATTGTTCAGGGGAAGTGGAAGTGCCTGCGCTGGGACTGAAACAGACCCTCGGTGACTCTTTGTTTACTCTGACACGTCGTTAATTGACTTTGTAGACTGATGCCTCTGGGTTTGATTTGAATTCGAGCAGAGTAGCGTCGCTACTTCATACTGCTGCTGAACTTCAGAACAAACTGCACTGCTCGAAAGTGTGTTGGCAACTTTTCTGTAAATATCTCCAAAGCGTCTCTCACTTTAGACAATAAGAGCTGTGGCGATTTGGGGATTTGGAGACCCCTCTGGTGGAAATGTGTAATTGCACAGAGAACAACCTTCTTGCTAGCCTAGCAGCCACCTCAAATAGCTTTGCAACACCTCAGCAACCACCTGGGATAGCATAGCACTGTTCTAGCCACACCTCAGCAACCACCTGGGATAGCATAGCATTGGCCTAGCAACACCATAGCATTGGCTTGGCAACACCTTAGCAACCATCTGGGATAGCATAGCACTGTTCTAGCAGCACCTCAGCAGCCACCATGGATAGCATAGCATTGGCCTAGCAACACCATAGCATTGGCCTAGCAACACCTTAGCAACAACCTGGGATAGTACAGCAATAGCCAGCAGCACCTTAGCAACCATTTGGGATAGCATAGCACTGTTCTAGCAACACCTTAACAACCAGCTGGGATAGCATAGCATTGGCCTAGCAACACCTAAACAACCACCATGGATAGCATAGCATTGGCCTAGCAACACCTTAACAACCATCTGGGATAGCACAGCAATAGCCAGCAACACCTTAGCAACCATCTGAGATAACATAGCATTGGCCTAGCAACACCTTAACAACCACCTGGGATAGCACAGCAATAGCCGGCAACACCTTAGCAACCATCTGGGATAGCATAGCATTGGCCTAGCAACACCTAAACAACCACCATGGATAGCATAGCATTGGCCTAGCAACACCTTAGCAACCACCTGGGATAGCACAGCAATAGCCGGCAACACCTTAGCAACCATCTGAGATAGCATAGCATTGGCTTAGCAACACCTTAACAACCACCTGGGATAGCACAGCAATAGCCAGCAACACCTAAGCAACTACCTTGGAAAGTATAGCCTTGGCCCAGCAAAGCCTTAGCGACCACCTGGGAAAGCGTAGTGTTGGCCTAGCAACACCTTAGCAACCACCATGGATAGCATAGCACTGTTCTAGCAACAGCTTAGCAACCACCTGGGATAGCACAGCAAAAGCCAGCAACACCTTAGCAACCATCTGGGATAGCATAGCATTGGCCTAGCAACACCTTAACAACCACCAAGCATAGCATAGCCTTCACAACCAATTTCTGAAAGAACCCAATGCAGGGAACTGCATACCTGAACATGTGGAGCAGAGCACCATGCAAGAGGCCTTTGTTCACAGAATTGTCCGGTTACAGTGGACGAAGAGACAGACAAACTGGACTGGACACGTGTTATCTGGTTTCTGCCTGTGTGTGAATGATGCTTGGTGTTGTGTCCATCGTAGACCTCAGGAAGCCTTCAGTGAGGACGGTGAGCAGGTGTGGTTCAAGCTGAGGAGCTCTGTGATGTTCTGGGGGTGTTTTAATTACGCAGAAATGGGTTCTTTGGTTGAGGTGACAGTAAATTTGACCCACAGTGCCGACATCGAGCTGCCGGACAACCAGATTTTGCCTTTTGCTCATCATCTGACCAGAACATAACGCTCCTATCCCTGCATTCCAAGGGCTGCAAAAGTGACTGATTGGCATGATGAACATTCAGGAGCGTTCACACATCTGGACCTACAGAATCCCCAGATTTGAATCCTCTTGAAAATCTGTGGGACCACCAGGAACAACGAGTAAGACCCCAGGGAGGGCATCCACGAAATCTGGCGCAGTTCTTTGGTGCAAGAGTGGCTGAACAGCTACACCAGTGCAACAGCGCACTCTAGGTTGTTCATCGAGAACAACATCACGTCAGCTCTCAGACCTGTCAGGCGTTTAAACCAACTTTGGGTCAAAAGGGCTTTTAATTGTAACTTGGAAAAGAAAACTATTCAATCATTGTATTTTATCTGCTATGTTTCATTACGTCTTTATAAATCAAGCGTGTTTTCCTTGCGCATTGAGGTCTGATGAGGTAGAAAACAGGCCGATGAATGAAGAACGGATGGGCTGAAAAACAAACACTCGTGTCAAAGGGACACATGTGCGTCCGCCGTTAATCTTTTAACGATCCCCGTGGACTAATTAAAGTTAACGAGGCCGTACGCTTTGTACTGACGGAGAAAACAAACCCCTGACTGTCTGACCTCATGCTGGTCTCTGTCGTTCGCTCTCTGTCCTTTTTCATTATTCTCAGTTTGTTTGTTTCTGCTTTTCACCCAGAGCTATAAAATACGCTCCTGTCGTTAGAGGAGATCATACTGCTTTGCTTTGGTTGCACTCACATCTGTGCGACTGTGCGTGCGCGGTAAGCACTTCGACAGACGTTGCGTGTTGTTTTTATTTAGACGCTGTTTTGTGACTCGGTGTTGTTTTCTGTTTAAATGGTGATGAGGTAAAAATAATGACTGCAGTAAAAGCTTTATATCCCTGTGCAGATTTCACTGGAGTTTTAACCTGATGTATCATCTTCATCATTTGTGTTCTCTCTCTCTCTCTCTCTCTCTAGACTGCATACAGCCCAGCGGGCGATCAAACAGACGCAGGTCACTGTCCAGAGGATTGGGAAGGAGATTGAGGAGAAGCTGAGGACGACAGCGGCCTGCACAGAGCGGGTGAGAGATTCACACTGAAGGACAAAACGAAAACCCAGAACAACTGAACAAACCCTGTGCAGACCAAACAAGCTCAAATAAACCCAGCACAGACCAAACAAGACCACACAGACCCAGTACAGACCAAACAAGACCACACAAACCCAGCATAGACTGAAGACCAAACAAAACCAGTACAGACCAAACAAGATCAAACAAACCCAGTGAAGACCAAACAAACCCAGTACAGACCAAACAAGACCACACAAAACCCAGTACAGACCAAACAAGGGCACACAAACCCAGTACAGACTAAAACAAGGCCACACAAAACCAGCATAGACTGAAGACCAAACAAAACCAGTACAGACCAAACAAGATCAAACAAACCCAGTACAGACCAAACAAGACCACACAAAACCAGCATAGACTGAAGACCAAACAAAACCAGTACAGACCAAACAAGATCAAACAAACCCAGTACAGACCAAACAAGACCACACAAAACCAGCATAGACTGAAGACCAAACAAAACCAGTACAGACCAAACAAGATCAAACAAACCCAATGTAGACCAAACAAAACCACACAAACCCAGTACAGACCAAACAAGACCAAACAAAACCAGTACAGACCAAACAAGACCAAACAAGACCACACAAACCCAGTACAGGCCAAACAAAACCACACAAACCCAGTACAGACCAAACAAGGCCACACAAAACCAGCACAGACTGAAGACCAAACAAAACCAGTACAGACCAAACAAGATCAAACAAAACCAGTACAGACCAAACAAGATCAAACAAACCCAGTATAGACCAAACAAGCGCACACAAACCCAGTACAGACCAAACAAGACCACACAAACCCAGTACAGACCAAACAAGACCACACAAAACCAGCATAGACTGAAGACCAAACAAAACCAGTACAGACCAAACAAGACCAAACAAGACCACACAAACCCAGTACAGACCAAAGAAGACCACACAAACCGAGTACAGGCCAAACAAAACCACACAAACCCAGTACAGACCAAACAAGATCACACAAACCAAATACAGGCCAAACAAAACCACACAAACCCAGTACAGACCAAACAAGATCACACAAAACCAGCACAGACTGAAGACCAAACAAGACCACACAAACCTGGTACATACCAAACAAAACCAGTACAGTCCAAACAAGACCACACAAACCTGGTACATACCAACAAAACCAGTACAGTCCAAACAAGACCACACAAAGCCAGCACAGACCACAGAAGACCAAACAAACTCAGTGTAGACCAAACAAGACCAAACAAACCCAGCACAGACTAAACAAAACCAGTACAGTCCAAACAAGACCAAACAAACCCAACACAGATCAAACAAGGCCACGCAAAGCCAGCACAGACCACAGAAGACCAAACATACCCAGCACAGACCAAACAAATCCACCACAGATGAAACAAGCCCAAACCGCCCTAACAGGCCAAACAAATCCAACACAGCCAAACAAATCCAGAGCAGCTAAACAGTGTAACACAATGACCAAAAGACTCTGAATGATATTATGCGTGTGAAGAATATCCTTTACATTTTGCCTTTTTTTGATCAAGTATAAACAGTTACACACCACCAGTTGAATGCACAGAAAGACGACCGTATCAGCTCCCGCTGTCGGAAGGTCAGACGGAGTCCGTTCAGTCTGGAGCTGGACGGCGTATCTGTGGAGGTGATTGTGAAGCAGGACGTCTGAGCAGAGCTGTGGTTTACTTTCTGCTTCCCGTTGGCCGAAAAATGTCAGGGATCTTTTACATTCCTCAGTAATTCCCTTATTTTTGGTATGATAACAAAACACTCGGGCCCTAATGTGATATTAGGCCGTCTGTAAAGTGTTTTTAGAGTTCAGTGTGGCCTGTTTTTGTGCCGCTGAGCTGCCTGGCGGTGTGTGTGTTTGCTTTTGTACGTTTTCAGGGCCTGACTTTGAAGGATATCCAGAAAAAGCTGGAATAACATACAAACGCAACAAAACAGTCAGAAAACTGACTTTGTGAAGTGCTTTTAACAAAAACTCTGTTTTTAAAACTGCGAGACTGATGAAACTTCTCATTATTATTATTATTATTACAATGTTATATTATTATTAGTAGTAGTATTAGTATTATTATTGTTTTTATTTTTATTAACATTGCATATAGTTATCTACATGTATAATACAGGCACTTATATATTATACATTTTTATAATAGAAATATTATACATTATAATATAAGTATACATAACTATGTAATTATATAGTTATGTAATATAGTTTATCGCTGCTGTCGGAACAAAACCTCGTATCTCCATTTTTAACGTTTTTCAGTTTTTTCATAATTTGAAAATGCCTGTTGTTCTTTACATTATGTGTAAATTTCTTGATGAATGGACCAAAAAAAACCGACCAAAATTGATGTGGAAAAACTCTGGTTCTGTTGACTTACATTAAAAGTACAGTATGTTTCTTCCTTCTCTTGTGAAGTTGCTATTTTGGAGATGCGAGGTTTTGGTCCGACAGCAGTGAGATATATAATGTAGTGTAATGCTGTGGATATGGTGGCAGTTGTGCTAAGCAGTTACAGTAATAAGTAGGGGGTGGGGGGTGGAGGGGGAGTAGGGAGGTGTGTGGTAACCAGCGGCTGTGTGTGTGTATTATATTACACAGATGCTCATAAATCTGTCGTTAGCTCCTCCTGTCCTGTGTTTTGGTGGATTTAGCGAAGCCTTTTCAGCCGCTCGGCGGAGCTCGGCCTGCCTCTGCGGTTCCTCTCTGACCGGATCCCTCAGGAGGAACTAAAGCAGAAAGAAAGAAAAGCATATTTAGGATTTTTCAGAGCTGCAGGGCTGCAGCTGTGAAAACGGAGCCAAGAGGGCAGATAGAGAACAGTGTGTTTATGGTAAACCAGCGACAGCTTCAAAGGGAAACTCCACTGCCCCCAGGGTAGTTACACCCCTACACCACCCCCCCAAAAAAAACACCTACTGTAACTCACACTCACACACACACTCACACACACACACACTCCACACACACACACTCACACACACTCTCACACACACACACATACACACACACACACACACACACCACACACACACTCACACACTCACACACACCACACACACACACACACACACACACACACACACACACTCACACTCACACACTCACACACACACTCACACACTCACACACACTCTCACACACCACACACCACACACACACACACACACACACACACACACACACACACACACTCACACACACACACACCACACACTCACAGTTCTTGTAAACCATTAGACATCTAGAGATATTTTGTTTTACTTTATCTTCAATTTGCATCCCATAATAGTTTGTGTCATTACTGGGGCTGTCAAACGATTAAAGTAACCAGGAACGTTCTTTTCCCGAAGGAAACGCAGAACGGTTACGCAGCCTAAATGGTTCCCACTTCTGCTAGGTTGTTGCTAGACGGTTACTATAGTATCCAAGGTCGTTGCTAAGGTGTTGCTAAGCGGTTGCTATGGTGTTTCAGGTGGTTGCTAAGGTTTTGCTAGGTGGTTGCTGTGGTACCTGTGGTCGTTGCTAGGGTGTTAAGCGGTTGCTATGGTATTTCAGGTGGCTGCTAGGCATATTCTAATTTTGAGTATTTTTCGAAGTTGAGCCAGGGGTGGAGTCAGCTGAAAGTAGTGGGGTGTAGTTAAAAGCTGTATTTGAACAGGAGGGCTACAGTCGGACTCAAAGCAGCAGTGCACTGCAGCTGGGCTTCAGCCTGGAACTACGGTTGGTTCAAAGGGTCAAACTAAGAAATTGTGAATATCCATTCAAGTTCAGCTCTGCATTTCTGACGCTTCCTTCTTTGTTTGGATGCCAAAAAGGTGGAACAATGTGAACTAGAGCTGCACAATATAGACAAAATACTAAAACTGTGATTATATCGTGGTTGTACTGCTGTGTAGATCAGTTATGATATGCCTTACAGTGCACTCACACTGGGGACTCGATAATGTGACACGGTTTAAGACTAGCCAGCAGGATTTCAACCAAAATTATAAACATTTTTTTGGATGCATGAACACCTTGATCCATTAACACACCCAGAGAAACTCGTGTGGAGCTGTGATTGGTCAGGATGCTCACAACAGCACACAGTAAACAACTCTGATTAATTACGAGGCTCATTTTGTCATTACAGTCGTCTGTGATATCAGTCTTGGATTGTTTTTATGTTTATATTGCAAAATTGTTCAAAAAGAAAAACTCAGAGCTCTGACCTAAACATAGGCGTGTGTGTGTGTGTGTGTGTGTGTGTGAGAGAGGGAGAGAGGGAGAGGGAGAGAGAGAGAGAGAGAGAGCTGCTGGTGGATGGAGGCTCTATCTGCTCTCTCCTCTGATAACAGGCATGAGATGTTGACGTTCCTATCAACAGACAGATCTCCCACCCCCCCTTCTCTCTCTCAGAGTCAGTGTGTGTGTGTGTGTGTGTGTGTATATATATATATATATATATATATATATATATATATATATATATATATATATATATGTATATGTGTGCATGTGTGTATATATAAATAAATATAAACAAAATATATACATATTTACAAAATACTCTGCATGCAGTTACACATTTTTACCAGAGACGTCTCCAAATCCCCAGAACTTACAAAGTGCAGCTTTAAAAAGCTCCTTATAGTGATGCAAGTTTGTTGTAACAGTAGCTATTTCTGCTTCGTACATTTAACACAGCTTTAGTACTAAGAGTCACGTTCTGTATAGAACCATGAAGACTTAAAGAACCATTTCCATGCTTAAATGGTTCTTTGCATGGTGAAATTGTTCTTTAGAGTGATGGAGAATGTGTTGCGGTTGTATATAGCACCATTTTTTTAAATGCTTGTGTAGCATCAAAAAAGTGTTCTTCTACTGTTACGATGTCAAGCTTATAACACTATAGGAACCCTGGTGCTATATATTCTCCATCAATCTGAAGAACCGTTTCACCATGCAAATGCAAGTGTTTGAGTGTTTGTGGTTCTTTGTCTTTACTAAAGAACCGTTAAAGAAGGCAAGAGTATTTAGTTCAGGATAGAGTGTTTTTGGAGCTGTGTGGTTTGTAAATAGCCATTTTGTACAACTTATGGAGACATAAGAATGAAAAATATGGTTAATTGTGAGTCCTAGTACTGCTGCTTGCCTCATGACTCGCCTCAAACTCGTGTGGAGGTGTTCAGTATCTCTAACAGTCTTGATTCTGTGGTTTCTGACACTGTATGACTCACTGTTACCTATAAACATGGGCTAAAGTACATTAGCGTAGCTAAACACAGCAGCGGCATCTTAAAGCCTGAGTTTTGTCTGTGCTTTAGTCCATGTTTATAGATAACAGTGTGTCATACGGTGCTTGGCTGAGCACCGCGCCGCGCTGAGGAACAAAGCGTTTGTGGATGTGTGGCTGAAGCGTTTGTAGATGTTCACCTCCATCCTGGTGGATTATGATAGTGATCGGCAGCTCGGATCAAAGAGCTCAGATGAAGGGATGAACTTTCTCTTAATCTCTCCCTCTCCATCCCTCTCCCAATTCTCCCTCTCTCTGTCTTGGTTTTCCCCTCTTACGAGCCCCTGAGTTCCTCTCAGTGAGAGATTAACACGGCTTTATTGGTCCGTTACTGTTACAGCACTTATCAGAGCTCACAGATTACAAACACATCCATATTCATAAACAAAAGAGCTTTAAATTCCCTTTAACGTTTAAATAATATCTGTCATAATCATAACCACAGAAACCTCAGACAGTAATACCTTAGCTACTACTGTAACGACTACTACTACTAATAATGATGATGATGATGACGTATGTTAAATATGATGATACCAGTTCATATTAAGATTATAGTTTAAAATAAATGTATTAATGTTGTAAATTAGGCCATAAACAACTTTCATTAAACAGTAGAAGCCATATCGCCCCCTACACTTCCTGTAGTGTATTACAGTCTGTCAGAGTGACTGTGTGGATCATATGAACATTATAGAGCTTTTTAAATGAAACAATAGAAGCCATATTGCCCCCTACACTTCCTGTAGTGTATTACAGTCTGTCAGAGTGACTGTGTGGATCATATGAACATTATAGAGCTTTTTAAATGAAACAGTAGAAGCCATATCGCCCCCTACACTTCCTGTAGTGTATTACAGTCTGTCAGAGTGACTGTGTGGATCATATGAACATTATAGAGGCTTTTTAAATGAAACAGTAGAAGCCATATCGCCCCCTACGCTTCCTGTAGTGTATTACAGTCTGTCAGAGTGACTGTGTGGATCATATGAACATTATAGAGCTTTTTAAATGAAACAGTAGAAGCCATATCGCCCCCTACACTTCCTGTAGTGTATTACAGTCTGTCAGAGTGACTGTGTGGATCATATGAACATTATAGAGGCTTTTTAAATGAAACAGTAGAAGTCATATCGCCCCCTACACTTCCTGTAGTGTATTACAGTCTGTCAGAGTGACTGTGTGGATCATATGAACATTATAGAGTGTTGTTCTTAAGTAAATAAGTAGACTTAACCAGTGTCATCAATGGCGCTCTCTCTCTCTCTCTCTCTCTCTCTCTCTCTCTCTCTCTCTCTCTCTCTCTGCAGAAGAAAGAGCGAGAGTGTATGCAGCTGCGTATCGGTGTGCTGCGCAGTGAGCTGGAGAGACAGAAGAAGGCTCTGGTGCGAGAGATGGACACACTACAGAAAGAAAGAGTGCAACTTCAAAGAAAAGGTAAAAACAAACACAACCAGCCCACGACACCTTCACTCAATACACACACTGATCAGCAGAGTACCTCAAGCATCAAAGCGAAGCCTTACACACTTAAAAAGATGGTTCTTCAAGGGTTCTGTAGTAAAGAAAATGGTTCTATATAGAACTATGAACACTGAAAGACCCCTTTGCATGATTAAAAGGTACTTTGCATCGTGAATGTGTTCTTCAGATTGATGGAGAACGTGTTGTATGTGGTTCTATATGACACCTTTTTGAAAAGGGTTCCATATAGCACCAAAAGCGTTCTTCTATTGTCACAAGCTTGACATCATATGAAAATGGTTCTACATAGAACCATGAACACTCAAAGAATTCTCTTCTATTGTTACAATGTCAAGTTGGTAACAATGAAAGAACCCTCTTTGGTGCTGTATAGAGCCCTTTTCAAAAAGATGTTATATAGAACCATATATAACACATTCTCCCTCAATCTGAAGAACCATTTCATCATGAGAAGGGTTCTTTGAGTGCTCAGGATTCTATATAGAGCCATTTTCTTTACTAAAGAACTCTTGAAGAGCCATCATTTCTAAGTGTGTAAGCATATATACCCTGGCCACTTTATTAGAAACTCATACAGCACTGTGCAGAAGTCGGAGGCCACATTTAGCAAGTTGTTTATTTTTCAAGAGAGATTTTTGAGGATGTTGCAGAGAAAATGTGTCTCCTAACAACCACCTGGAAGACCTGGTAGACACCAAACCTGCCCCCATCAGATGAACTTTAAAGCTTTCATCTCTGAGAGAGAGGAGAAAATCGAGCTGCTTCAGATCTGAAAACATCCACAGGTGTTTCTGTCCATCCTTCCACTGTGAGAAGACGACTCAGCGCTGTGGGTCTGAAAGGATGTGTAGCTGATCAAGAAGAACCTCACTGAGAAAAGGAGACGGACACATCAAACAAAGAAGCTGAACGATGGACTGACCACCCCAGAGTCCAGACCTCATCACCACTGAATGTGTTTGATTACTTCAGAAAATGATCAACCAGCTTCTAAGCATTTAGCATTAACGAGGCAGCAGCTGAACCTGAAGTCAGTGCTAGTAAACGGTGGAAAAGCAACACATCTGACTCATTTTCACCCTCAGTTCGCTCTAATAATTTGCAGCTGAGAGCTGGTTAGAGCTGATCAGGATTAGGATGTGCACATGCGGGTCATTCAAGGACGCCGGTTCGTTTCCCTTAACTACACAAATGTGAACCATCGTGTTAGGAAGATCATATCTGAGCAAAAAATCTGATCTAAGCAACGAAGCTTGTAATGTTGAACACAGCCAGAGTGACTCAGATCTGATCTGAAAAGATCAGGGGCTGAATTCATGACAGCTTTCTTAAGAATAAACTTGTGAGGGTTCTTAAGACAAACACTAAGACGTTTATTAGACGTTTGTAATTACTTAAGAAAATCTTTTCTTTTGTCGGCCACGTTGCATTTTACCACGTACCATAAACGACATGAGATACGTTTTGAGTTTGTATTAACTGTTATTTAGTTTAAATTACTCAGAGGAGAAAACTGAAGGAAATACATCAAACCAAGCATTTAAAACTGTAGCAAGTAAGATCTAGAGGTGATGGTGGAAGAAACAGCCAACAGGAAAAATCCTCATCGGGCAGTATAATAATTGAGGGGTGACGGACGAGGATGAGGAGCGGCAGAGGCAGCGTCCGTGATACATTTAGGCCCAGTCCCATTTCTTCTTTTTACCCCTACCCCTTGTTTTCCAGTGTCACCCTGACCCCCTAGTGGTTGAAATCTTCCCTCTGAAATGGGACCCTCAAATAAAAAGAGCATCACTTCATTAACAGCTACCAGCGCTGCTCTGTAGGCGACCCTGCCAGTCTGCAGTGACAGCAGAGGAGGGTAAAGTTCAGCTCCTCACTGCTGGGCTTTAGTTACATTTAGGGCATCATATGACTTCAAAGAGGGGGGCAATTATTTATTATCACCCACCCCTAATTCTTCAGTGATATGAAGCTGAAGTCAGATATTCACCAGATTCTTGTTCAGATTTTCCCATTCCACCTTAAATAGTGCAGCAGTTACATTCTGGCGCTTCAGGCATCAGAACTGCTCGACTATTTAAGGTGGAACGGGAAAGTTAGCTAGCTAGCTACCGAGACATTAGCATGCTATTAGCAATTTTTAATGCTTGTTATGTAGAAAAAGACCAAAATATATTGAAACCACATTAAACTAACATAATACAGTGATTATCGTAATTTTTTAACAGAGAAACTTCTCACATTTGTGTGTTTCTTTGGTCTCTTGTTCTCCATCTCACCAGTTTTTCTTCTTTTCTCATAACTCTCTGTTTGGGGTCTCTGAAAAACCTCTGTTTGGAGGGTCATGTAGCCCCAACACTTCACCCCACCCTTCTATCTCAACAAGAATCGGGACACCCTACCCCTAGACGTGAATGTGCAAAACAGAGGGCTAAGGGCTGAGTGGTCGGGGCGAGGGGTGAAGTGGGACTGGGCCTTAGATGCTCACCTTGTCAACTCTTACTGCCTAAGATGAACAGCCTGTCGTAAGGTTAAGAAAACACTTAATGAACATAACTGTGAGTATTAAACATAAGTAGGAATATTCTTCTTAAGAAAATAGTTAAGAAAAGAAAATAAGACCATTCTTACGAAGTTGTTTGAAGAATAACGTTTTTTCGTAACTCTTTTCACACACATTTAAGAAGATTTTCTTTCGTAAGACACTTTTGTGAATCTGGCCGCTGATTTGTGTCCACACTACTCTGAACGCATCAGATCTGTATCACATAAAGGGCAAAAATCTGATTTGTGCTGCTCCAGCCTGGTAATGTGAATGTAGCCTGAGTCTCCTGAAAAGAACAGAGGTGAAGAGCGACTCACTGACACTCACACAGCTGATACTAGATTTAGTTGAGGCTTCTGGGTAATTTCTGGGTTTGTTTTCTGCTTTTTTTTCCCCTCCAGCACTGAAAAATGAATAAATTCACTGTTTACTGTTAAATAAATGAAGAGCTCTGACCTTTGCTCAGTGCTGTAGACCTGTACCTCTCACTGGCCACTTTATTAGAAACACCTTGAACTTTCCCTCATTTTAACAGGGCTCAGTGAGGGGCTGTGCTGCTCGCTTCTCCGAGCCCAGACAGAGTTAACTGCCCCCCCGAAGTGTGTTTCAGCCCTGTGAGGAGATCAGACGCTCTCTCTGACTTTATTAGTGTATGAAAGAACAAAGCTGGTTTAATATCAGTCTGAGCGAGTGAGTGCTGAAGGTTATGGGGCTGAAGGCTGTTTCAGTGTTTTTACGTGCTGGTGGCTCATATTTTAAGGCGTCTGTAATCATACGATACTGCGGAGGAGAAATCGTTCTCACCTGCCGTGTGTTATGATAACTTTAATGTTGTTCTGAGTGATCTGTCCTCTCTGTGCTGGAGTCTGTTGCTCTGCAGACAGTTGATCTTTTTCTCAATGCGTTCCACCATTCTGGATCTCTCTCATCGCTGCTGGAGGGCATTTCTGTGTCCTTTTGGACATGAAGGAACCGTATTGAACATTTCTGTGGCAGCGTCAGCCAACAGGGGTCACCCAGATGTTAAGAAGAGCCCAAAATCAAACCACCTTGGGAGCCACAACATTTTGTGTGCATTTTATTAAAGTAATGTTTTGCCATCTTGGCTGTAAATATGTCTTAATATGGGCTAATGTACCAGTATAGGCTAAAAATATAAACAAAAACGCAGACTTACTTTGCTCTGCTTTAAGCTTTAGCTCAGCTATAGCTGCTTTTCTCGCACCTCTGGCAGGAAACTTTTCCGCAAAAGTAGAACAGTTTCCTGTAAAATATCTCTCAACTTTTGACTTTTTACGAGGTTGAAGTTGCTTCTCATTTACCAGCTTCTTGTTCTAATTTCCCTGTTCCACCTTAAATGTAACTGCTGCACCATTTAAGGTAGAACGGGAAAAATTCGAATGAGAAACTTCAGCTTTGTGACTTTTTAGTGTTTGTCAGTTTCTCACTGCAGATTAAACGTATCAGGAAACCAGCTGGAGTGATTATAAATGTAAATCAGTCCATTCATCTCCAAATTATCGATGTTCATCTTAAATCTCTCTCTTTGTCGCTTCGTTAGATACTAGCTAGACGAGACTGTCGTCTTTGTTGCTATGGTGACCAGCAGTCTGTGCTGATCTTCAGGGTTAAAGGGTGAATTAGCAGTTCTACATTAACTCCAGAGTTTAAGACCATTTACTGTTAAACTGTGTTGAACGATCAGCAGAGCTTTATTTTACTGTAAAGGAGGATTATTTTATTTTTACCTACTAATCTGATTCAGCTGTGGAGCCACAACAGGACAGTAAAAGAGCCGCATGTTGCCGACCCCTGGCCTAGCAAGACCTTAGCAATCACCTGGGATACTATAGCAATGGCCCAGCAACACCTTAACAGTTGAGGGAAGGCTGCATAGAAAGAGATTTAATTAGAGTTAATTAGGCTAAAATTTTAAACGCTGTTCACTGTGATTTTACTCACAGCTCTAATCGTCGCCCTGGTTTAAACTCTGAGCATGAAGCTAAACACCCACAGCTCCAGCTCAGAGACTCAGCAGCGGCTAAACTGATCTGCTGTTGTGTCGGTCAGTCAGAAGCCGTTGTTTAAATAGCTGCATGTCTGTTTTTCTCAGTGAAATATTAAAGAATAATCAGACAGCGGCTGTAGATCATTTGCTTTATTCAGTTTAACTTTATTGTTCTCTTCTGCTGGATATCCATGGAGAAGTCAGTGCCAACTGCCATCATGTTTCCATGGCAGCAGGTTTACTGATCGGTTCTGAACATGTTATCGTCATGTTAGAGCGACGTACACGTTAGTTAGATGTTACTAGTTAAGACTCGACTTATGGATTTGTGGTGCAGCCAGATTTAGTAAAAGGACAGTTTAAACTAGCTAGACTTTACGCACAAACTTAAGTATA